CGTGTTATTTCACCGTTTGTTCCACTGCATACTCTCCAGTGAATTGACTACATTTTACTACAGTTCTCCTCTAACAGAAACATTACTGTAGCCACAGCCCAATCGTAAATAGAGTAGATTTAACTGTATGTTGAGAGGTAGAAAGTAGAAAGTGTTTGTTGCACACAACATTGCTGTGTCTGTATTTATTAACCACAACAACAAGAACTTTTTTCCACTTTCATGAGAATTCTGCTCGCGGCTCCGGAAAAAAGAAACTTGACATTTGCTTCACGTTTGGTAAATCTGCTTTGAAGTGTCAGCAGTTTTTATTTTTTTATTATTATTTTTTTTTATACACGTAGGCAATCTTTGGCGTAGATCAAGGGCTAAAATATAATCAAAACATCATCATTTGAATCTATTTCCACGTGGAAAGTTACTCTCTGAACTTCCAGATTTGCCAGGATTTCTAGGACGAGTGGGATCAGACGGAGTTACGAGCTAGAAACTTCTTCTTGGTGTCGGTGCAGTGAATGTGTGCAGCTTCCTGAAGTCTTATCATCACAGTGAGGTCGCCGGGTTTGCAATCGTGGCTGTAACCAAAACCTGAGCTCCAACCGGAGGTTCTGCACTGTTGTTTGTCGAGAAAGAACTTCAGCACCAAACTCCTCCTCAAACCACAAAGTCATATTCAATCATCAATCAAACAATCAAACAAGATACAGCACGTTAATTAGCTGAGCTTGGCTAGCTGTTTCCCCCCGTTTCCAGTGTTTAGGCTAAGCTAGTTTAACCACATCCTGACTGCAGCTTTGTACTCAGACACAAGATTGATATCAATGTTCTCATCTCACTGTCAGACAGAATGCAAATATCTCCCTATTATATAATATGAATGTTATCATTTATTGACTCTGTGTGTTTTATGAAGTTGTGTAAGAAAATAATAAAGTCTCTCAGGATCACATCAGTAAACCAGAGTGAAACGGAGGAGCTGTGTGTGTGTGTGTGTGTTTCAGTGTTTGCACGTGTGTGTTTACTCGTGTTTTACCTGCAATATGAGCGACTGCATACGACCTCAGAACGCAATAACTTTGCCACTGTAAAGCTCATAAGACACGCAGTCGCAGACATACAGCGATGTGACAGAGCTGACAGAAGAGATAATGGAACGGAGCGACGAGCAAACAGCTGTGTGGGCGTTAAAGTGAACACACACACACACACACACACACACACACACACGAGACAGCAGGTGAGTGTGTGTGGATAAGATCTACAGCTGAACTCATTTCCCACAGCCTACTCAATAATGTTGGTCTGAGGGTTAGAGCCACCACAGGAAATCAATGTGACGGCCCACACTGACTGTGTGTGTATGTGTGTGTGTGTGTGTGTGTTTTTTTCCTCTTTATTCACTCGTCTCCTTCTTCTGTTGTGTGAGTTGCTACAGGGTTAACGCCCTTCAGGAAAAACACATTTACAATAAGAGAGATGCAACTTCCACATTTTTGTCTAAAAAATACGATGACGGTTTGTTGCGACTAAGCGGCTAACCTGAATGTTGTTTTGGAAGTACAAAGTAAAAATGTGTTTAGAGTATCGATAGCTGTCATCAATCATTCTCAGACTGTAAATTTTGTTTGCAGCTGCTTGTTTTTAGGTCAAATTTAACACTTTGGTTTGTTTTGTTAAATGAGAAAAAGGTTTATGGAGGAAAAAACATGTTCATACTGAAAGGAACGGTATAAAAAAGTATTGGTTTCATTACTAAGACAAATATAACATCGATATAACTTCACAATTGCCATTTACCTCGGTTTAATTTTTTATTGTCTGTGTGGCAAAACTAGTCAGTCGAGTTCAGCCGAAAGAAAGAATGAGGTTTTATTAATCATGCACCATGTTGTTTTTCCACTAAAAAGCAGCATTAAGATCATCATCATCACAAAGCACTTGAAACACAAAGCAGACCGATGAAAAACCTCCTCACAGCCCTGATGTTAGTCAGCAACATCAATACATAAATCTACCTGTGGGCCTCCTAAGAGCTGGAAACAGTCTGCTTATGTGTGGCTGCTTTCCTTTATTCTTGTATGGATTTGAGGGAAGAACATAACGTGTCCGGTTCAGTTTGTTCCGTTCAGGACTCGACCTCCAACAGGAAGTCAGCTCAACCATTAAACTGGGAGCTGTTAGCCTCGGCCTACAGTTACGCAACACCCATCACTCCTGAACCCTAACAGCAGAACCATAACTGTAATTCTCTTCAGGAGGACATTCGAGGGCGTTCAGCAGAACCTCACCAGCGCTGCCGGTGGTTTCACAAACACAGACTAACTGAACCTGGGTCCAAAATCATCAAGGAAAGTTCTTTTTAGAAAATTATTTCACAGCTTTTACTGTATACCCCTCTGAGGTCCAGAGCTCGGTGACATCGGTTCTGGTGGCCCATTTCAGGTCCTGGTTTATATGTATCCTCGCAAACTTCCTTGTAATGATTTTGATCATAAATTGTAACTAAGCACTTCTGAGCATCTGGTCTGTAACAGCCAATGAGAGGAGCAGGCAGGAAATAGATTCTGCTGACAGGCTGTGACGTCCTAAAACCCAAAAGATCAAACCCGATATTGCATAATCCATTTTTATATTTTCATAATAGCATAAAAATGCAAATATGGAAACTAGAAAGGCTTTGAGAAATTTGCCTGAGAGGAGGAGAAGCTAAAAATAAGTGCAGACATATCTTCAGAGAAATGACGGGCGGATGAAGAATGACTATCTTTTATCTGAATGTGATAGCGGGTGTTTAAAAAGGACCCTTCAGGTCGCCCTCTTCCTGTGCGAGCCCCAAATAAACGTCCTGATTACAGCTCAACACGAGCTGTCAGCCCCATCCTCACCAACCCTAAAACTGCCAGAGCCTGTTGCTATGCAGGCGTCCCTCCAGTCTCACTTCACAACCTCTTTTAAAAACACTGCCGAGACAAACACACACGACGGGAGGCGGTGACGAGGAGCACAGAAGAACAAATGTGTCAGTGGCAGCTAGCCCTGTTATTACAGGAAGGAGGAAGAAAATTGCTGCTTCAAAGCCGATAAGTACAGCTCTGTCTCTGCCTCTCTTTGGGCTCTGACTGACAGACGAGAGAGAGGAGAGGAAGAAGGGAGGTCAACTGAGGGAAGAGGAAGAAAGAAATAGCGACATATGTTTCAAACGTCACATCGCGCCTTGCATCACAAACACGTAAATCATACGCAGATAGAGGAAATCTAATAAAAACTGCGCGAGGATGCCAGCAGTGTTAACATGTGACAGCAACTCCCATCAAACACACACACACACAGACACACAGACACACACACACACACACACACACAGATCGAGTCAGACAGAGAGTCCGGTTCATCCATCAAAAGACAAACCCAGTTAGCTGACCTTCATGTTGGAGCATCTAAGACCTGCGATGAGGAGGAGGAGGAGGAGGAGGAGGAGGAGGAGGGAGAGGAGGGAGAGGCAGAGAGGGGAGAGGGGAGAGGAAGACGCAGGCTGCCAGAGATGAAGAGAAATCTGAACTAATAAAAGAGGACGGACTGAGGATCGTACCTCTTGGAGCGCCGCAGCATGCTTCTCTCGGGCAGTGAGAAATTGGAGAGCACCGTCCAGAAGGAGTCAGACATGCTAACGCAGGCGCGCGACCATCGCTGTGACACGGCGGCAGGACGGAGGAGGACGTGGTTAGCAAACAGACGCTGGCGTCCACCTGTCACAGCGGCGAGAGCGAGTGTGTGAGAGCGAGCTGGTGTGCCTCTCCTCCCCCCCTCTCTCTCTCCCTCTCTCTCTCTCCGCTCAGCAGTGCTCCCTCCCTCCCTCCCTCTCTGATGCTCTTTTCTTCCTCTCACCCCTCTGTTTCTGAGTGGAGCTCTCACTGCCTTCAGTGTACAGTAGAGTGGGGACAGACTGTTATCAGTTTACAGATGTTTACCAGCAGAACAACATGTGAACACATCTGGATGTTTAAATATTATATTACAAGAACCTTTTCCAGGAACTTTACTAACTGAACACCACTCCTGTCGGTATCTAACTGTGTGTTAATAATATTATAATTACAGCTAATATTGAGCTCGACTTAATCATAACAACAAAGGTTGCATAACATCCCAGCAGAGGAACCAGATTATTGTCCTTATTTTCAGAATAAGAGTAGTCACACAACTTCTCAGTTTAAGAGAAAGTCGTCTGCTCCCAGGGTTGGAAATGAAGCAGCTGTTTAGTTTTTCATTGTTTTAATAAAAAATGATACAAAATAAGAATATTTCTGGTTCATTTAACACAAAGTCACGGATTTTATTGTGCTGTTTGAAGAAAATGTGTCTTATTGTAAGATTCTACTCATTATTAATCTTAGATTAAAAAGGTACAAATTCTTAAATTCAGCTCAATAAAGTGATGATCTTAAGAGTTTGCATAGCTTTTTGGTCAGTTTTTTCCGTGGCTTGGTTTTTACACTAGTTTGAAGAATACTAGTTTGTTTTAGTTTTGTTTTGCTCAATACCAGAAAATTTAATTATATTTAAGCCTTGTTTCTAGAATGATATTTTTGCAGCCCTTCAATCAAAGAAACAAGCGAGAGAGTGCGGCAATTAAGAGAGCTAATGAATATTTTCCTTGATGAAAAGAGCTACTGGTGAGTTAAATATACAGTCAACAGGAGTTTAAAAGACTAAAGTACAAAAATAAGTCACGAAACAAAATAAATTTCACTTTAAAGTATTCAGAAAGAGACTTTTATAAGTGGTTTTCTGGTGTCATCAGCGCAGCATGCTACTTCCTGTCGGCGCCCTTTAGGCTGAGCGAGAACGTCGGCTCGTAACAACAGAAGGTCAAACTGAAGACGACACACACACACACACACACACACACACACACACACACACACACACACACACACACACACACACACACACACACACACACACAGGTGAGTTAGGAGGTGACACAGCGCGTCTCTTACCTCCAGAGGAAGGGGTTTCCTCGCTGGTGAACAGGGGCTGACAGAGGGCCATCGGAGGCACAGAGGGAGGGAGAGGAGGTGGAGGAGGAAGAGGAGGAGAAGGGGGAGAGGGTGACGACGGGGGGTTGAACAACGGAGGGATGAAAGGAAGTGGGGGACAGCAGGTGCTGGAGGAGGCTGCTGTTGCCGTGGCAACGCAGCTGAGCCGGCGACCAGATTCTGCCAAGAGAGGGAGGGGAGGGGGAGGAAGAAAGGATGAAGAGGGGAGGAAGAGAGCAGGGTGAGGATAGAGGGATGTGTGATGAGGACGCACATGTGTTTGAAAAACGAGTGCAAACATCTGTTCTTAACTTTCTCTCAAACCTGCAACGTCTCACACACAGAACTAATTCTAATATCAATTATATATTTTATATAATTAAATATAATAATTTGTTCAATCTAAAATAATAAAGCTGTCACAAGTTCCCAGAGACCACAGTAACGTGTTAAAGTCGATGTGGCCACGAGTGGAAATGACACTAAAAGTAAACTGACTCAGTTACACAGAAATATCTGTGCTAATATTAGCTGCCAAAAGCTAGCGGACTTACCAGAACTCGTAAGGCTTTAAAAGATAAAGTCCTGACTGTATTTAACACGGGTTAGTTAGTTGCTTTATTCCTTCTCTGAAAATATCAGTCACTCGCTTTAGAAACAGAAAACAGTCACTCACATTTAGTTTCTTTACTCAACAGCACTGCTGTAATGTTTCTGTTCATACATTTTAATGTTGTTTATTATTTGTACATCCATTTCTTCATCAGTTCCTAATTCTGCCTCCAGTGTTTCCTCCCTGCAAACTGATGAGACAGCGTTTGTTTTTTTATGGATTCCAAAGACCTTTATTACTTTGGTTGCATATTTGTATTTATGTGTGTTACATTAATAAAGTAAATTTGATTGGAAAGTAAAATTCCACTTTGGGCGAGAAAATCTAGCGACTGACTCGTCTGATTGGTGGTAAAAACCGATTAAACACATTGTTTTTGTTGAGAGCTGCACATGCTCAGTACCGATCGAGTGTTCGTGAGGAAATGGCGACGGGTAAAGACAAAGTTCATGAGCTAAAGCGCAGGCGAGCAGTTAAACTGTCGTGGAAACAGGAGTTTAGTTGGGTGGCGTTGTGCAGTTTGACAGCGAGGCGGATAAAACGGGGTCATGATTTGCTGGAGTGCCTTTAAGAAGTCTCTATTGTTAATTGATTAGTCTTAATAAATCTTTAAAGATTGTTTGTAATATAAACTTTCTGTAAAGAGACCTGACAGAGCTCAGGCTGAATAATAACATCAGTGACTGGTAGATGAAATGTAACTGAGCCTCTTTAAATAATGGCTCATTAAAGCCTGTGGAGGGATTTGAACATCTTTGATTGTGGTGACCCCCAGTGGTACGATCAGAAAAGATTAATTATTCTGTCCATTAAGACACTGATCAAATAACACTTTCAGCTCTTGGTGTGCCTTATTTTAGACATTCAGTCGTGTTTTTAGACGTGATTTTGAACTTTTAGTGGCTTTACCAACACTGGCTGACAGTAAAGAGTTGATATTAATAGAGCGTACAGCCTCAGTGCTCAGTGTTTGACTGCAGCGGGGGCCGGGATCTGATCCACGCTGTCCCCTCACAGGACTAACGTATCACAGCTGGAAATATCCGGACTAAAAGCTCAGTCTGGACTCCACAAGATGAATCAAAGTATTAAAACTCATATTAAAACTTAAAGCTGTGGGGTCAATAAAGAGTCTTTCAAACAGAGTCCAGCTGGTACAGGATCTGCAGGGGCATGACGACCTTATGGTGGTGGTCTGCGTGTCCTCCCTCCCTCCCTCCCCCGCTGGGTGGGACAGAATGGGCGAGACCACCTGCTGGGAAGTCAAGAGCTAAACACATTTTAGTATATTCAGTGTTTCCCCTCCATACTGCAGGGCCATCTGTGGTGCACCGGCACAAAGAAACTGCCTTTATGTTTGGTGGAGCCACTAAAGAGCTGCTGTGGGCTCTAATTAATACTTCTGCAGTTTATTTATACTTTTATTTAAATATTATTCATTAAATGTTAGAATCATGATTTATTAATGACTCTGAGAGAAGGGGAAATGTGTCGTTTGTACTCGTGAAAGAGAGACTCTGCTATCTGCGGGCTGTTGAGCTGATGGAGGACTTCCCTCCCTGCTGGTATCTCACTCTGATACCGTCTCATGTTTCTGTCTCCTGGAGGTGTTTCAGTGACTCAGTATGTATGTACACTATGCATGTGCTGTGTTACGGACGTATGTGTGCGATGTCCTGTTCTCACACCCATATTTCTGGTGATAATGACGCAGCGGCAGAAACAATGTGGGCCTGTCTAACACTTATTTTGGGGTCGCTCTGTTAAAGTCTGTTTTTATTATACTGAGCAGGTGTTACAGTTTGTAAACTGTTATTTTAATTCCACAGCTCAAAGCAGAACATAATGCATCCAGAAGAAAATGCACATTAAGTGTATGTTTTCATCCAGTTTGTGAACAATAAAGTTTAATTTAAGTGTATTTCAGTGTCAGTTAGTGTTGTGTCAATAATCTGAGGATTACAACATTAAAACAATAAAGGAGTGGCAGCGCAACAAGTATATTATACGTGTTTTACAGTTAATTTCCACATTAAAATGTTAGTTAAATTATGTTTTTAATTGTAATAACTTTAGTGATCCTCTGTCTTTTTCTCTAGCGCCCCCATCAGATCAAAATTAAGGTGCAATATGAAAGAACTGGACCAAATTCATACTTCAAACAAATATTGGCCAAGATATCGCCTTAGTAACCGCTAACTGCTGCTAACTGTAGCCCTTGTTAGTTAGTGAGCTCAGTTAGCCGCGCAGCTAGCAGCACTATTAGCTGTATATATGTCTATGAGCTGACTTTGGCTGGATTATGAGCTCGGAGCATCGAAGGAGTGTTGGTGTTCACGCTGCGAGCACAGGAGCTTTGGACCACCGGTGGGAGGTGGTATTTAAGCCGGCGGGTTCAGGCGGGTACAGGAGAGGTGTGAGAGAGATCGGGTATCAGTCTGCACCCACCTCTGGAGGCCTGAGCGGGGCTTACAGCGGGGGTTACAGCGGGGTCAGCCCCGGAGAGCCAGGAGCCAAATCTGAGACTGGACACTACAGGGACTCACTCTCACCTCTTGTGGTATTATGAGACAGGACAGGCAGAAGCTCACTGGTTGGCGTTCTAACTCCAGTAGATTTCTCTAACACAATAAAATAACAATAAAACGTCTTTGACTTCTTATTTCTTCACATTCTGTCGAAAATGTTTGAATGTTTTAAACTGAAATTCTTCTACATATTGCACCTTTAAAGATATTCTATCCTCCTTTGGCTTCCACAGAGCATAAAGCAACAGTAGTTTTGCATAAGAAAATAAAATAAAATTATTATTATGAACTGATAATCTATCGGCTGTGATTTAGATTTTCTAAATTTGTTTCTATTAAAATGTGCATTAAAATAGTTGGGCATAAACTGTGGCTACAAATTAAAAGGTAAAATGAGAAGGAAGTAAGACCAACGACTGGTTGATATGAATCTGATCTGTACACACACGCACACACGCACACGCCACACACACACACACACACACACACACACACACACACACACTCTCTTACTGGAGGCGGAGGTTTGGGGCTCCTGCTCGCTCCTTCCTCCTCTTCATCTTGTGTCCTGGGACAAAAGGCTCAGCTGTAATCTTTAATAATCCACTGGACTGCATTAGCTCATCGGTCCGTCACACACACATGCTGTACTGACCGACCGGCAGCTCCACTCAGGACCACAAACTGTCCCACAGTCAGTCCTCCATGAGTCCAACCACTGACAGCACTTTCATATATAAAGCAATGACCAGAGAGAGAGTGTGTCTGTGTTACGTCAGCACCTGCTCTTATCTCCACACAGAGACACACTCAGCTATGTGAGGTATCTGGTGGTAGAGAGTTCCTCCACCAGCGAGCTCGGGCTTGCTGAGTCACAAACAGAGCAGACTGGCCTCACAACACACACAAACACAGACAGTCTGCGCAGCTACGTGCAGACCACACACACATCGTCTGAGCTCAATAAACAAACTCTGGGTTATATCACGCAGATACTCGTTTGGGATTTCCGCTTTTTCATTGTGTCTTCCTCTGGATAATCCAAAGTAAGTCAGTTCAACACTCTTCCTTCCACTTGTTGCGTAGAAGAGAATTAAGTTCTGAGTAGTTCCATCGTGTCAGACAATAACCTTCAAGTTCAGACCGGTTGCTCGTTCTGTAGCGGACCCTCAGCTGCTGCCACCGAGCCAGCAGACAAAAAAAGGGAGCAGAGGGAGGCTCCGGGCCGTATGTCCCCTGGAGCAGAGTGCCTTCCCTGGGTACAGTCTGCGCAGTTAATCCTCCTCTGTTCCTGGAAGCCTCGACTTGTCTGATCGCTGTGATCAGACTGTGAGACGAGAGGAGTGAGTGAGACCTCAACTAACGGCCGGGAGGGGGAGGGAGGGAGGGAAGGAGGAGAGGGAGGGAGGAGGGTGAGAGAGAGGGAGGCGGGAGTATGAAGGAGGGAAGTGAAGATGTTCTTTTACTGCTTCATACACTTTATTTAGAGTTTTTAGGCTATGAAGAAAATGAATTTAACAGGAGTTTAAAACTAAATAAAAGGGCTTTTATTTCATTTTCATTTTTAAGTTTCTTCTAAACCAAAGAAAAACAAGTAGTACTAGCTTCTACTAAATTTGAAACGTTTTTTAAACAGGTTTATTTTTTAAGCACTTTTTAAACCAATTATGAACAATATGACTTTTAAAGACTTCAAAAATATGTCTTTGAATTAAAATTTTAATTGAGATCATATTTTAACCACACAATGACTCCTGTACATGGAACCATCTTTAAAAATGTGTTTAATTCATCTTAAAACTGATTTTAAAAGTGTTCTATTGTATTATACTGAACTGATAACATAAACATCTGTTACAACCTGGCCGGGGACTACGGATTAATATCAGCTCATCAGATAACTCCGGCACATTTCCATTGAAATGTAAACTGCAGTATTGATTAATGCGCATTGTCCCTGGTGATAAATACATTAATGATGATGCTTCCAGTTGCAGACATCCTCTGAGCTGTAAACTCTGCAGCAGGTCAACAACTTCTTTCTTTCTCTGAACTCTTGCGGAAGCTGAACGTTCAAGTGTTGATTACAAACAGTGAAACCTACATTATGTCCGATTGTCGACCTTTCTCTGACTCCTGATAATATCAGACCATGTAGGAAGTGCAGCTGTCCCCCTCTCTGTCCCCGGGACACCGCTGACCCTGATGGGCTAAATGCAGCTCACATGCCAGATTGCTAATTCATAAACAATGAAGTGGATCACGGCCGGCTCTGACTGGGGTACGGTTACACACACACACACACACACACACACACACACACACACACACACACACACACACACACACACACACACACACACACACACACACACACACACACACACACACACACACAAACACACACTAATGTGCAGTGATTACTACAGTGACGTAGGAGCAGCAGCAGGACACGAGAATGTCATTACACACCAATCTGGACCTTCGTTTTCAAATGATAAATTGAATTAGCAACATAACCGTCAGCAACAAACGTCTTCTGTGTCTCTGTCGGGTCCTCTGTCCTCTGTCCGTCCTAAAACTCTAATTTAGAGCAGATTGATTGATTGATCGGTTTTATATCGAAACTGCAGTTCGAATACGTGCATTTTAAAAAGTTCAAGAGCCACATTTTTAATCTATTAATGTCATAACAAGCTGTGAGAGGTCATTCTTAGTCAGCTACTCACAACATGACAACTTATCAGCACACGTGGACAACTGTGTAACTGTTAATCAATCAATATATTGATAATATATGAACAACCAAGAGTTGTCTGACCTTTCTGCACTGCAAACAGTATCCTGATGGTGCAATCATTTCAGTAATTTAAATATCACCTGAGCCGGTTTTTATCATTATATTTGTAACATTAGGATACAGCTTATATGCTTTAAAGCCCCAAAACAATCAACCAATATGAGAATGAAGCTCTTACAACAGCTCGCCGACGTCCCAGACACTTGTATTAACTTTATATCTGTGTGTTTGAGACTGGAACACATTGCTCAGACTGACTCTGACACTGGTGGAGTGAGGGTGTCGTACCGAAGCACAAACTTAACTCTCACTTCATTGTTAGTTCATCACTCAGCTTTAATTGACTTTGGGAGGACGATCTCAACTTTATCTTGGGAGAAAAATGGATGTACCCTCGATACCGGCGTGGATGAAGGAGACAGCGTATTGTGTCGTATTGGAGAGACTGACTTACATAACCAGAGGAAACGCAGGAGAAACGTTTCTTAGACGTTAAGGTGGGCAGCCATTTAGAAATTGCTCTTTTTTTTGTTTCTCTTCCGTGATGATGTGTTTTTTTATGTCTTTGTTATTATGTGAAGAATGTGTTTCCTTTCATCATTGTTAAGAATATGAACACATACTTCATTGTTTCATTATTACCACCGTCTGTATGTGTGAAATAAAACTAAAATTCAAAACGAATATTGTTTAAAAAAGCAGCCGATGTTAAAACATCAGTAATAATAAAATAATAACAGTGTAATATGTAACATGGGCCCTTCCAACAGCTCCATGCTTTATAGAATATATGGTTAAACACTGTAGGATGGTATCTGGACTTTGGAAGATATACTTCTTTATTTTATGTTTGTTTTCTCTTAATGTCGGGATGAGAAACGCTTTATTTGCAGTTTTGTGTTGCATGTATAAAATCTGATGTGATTTATGCACCAGAGGAAGATTAAAGAGGAAAACCAGAACCCAGAAATGTAAATACAGAGCAGTGAACCAGAGGGGAACCGTCAGTCTTTGATCGGACCATCAGAGACGGGACTTTGTTTTGGTGCCATCGGATCCTGAACTGTGTCCGTTAGAAAAGAACCGCGGCTACGTTCAGGAGACAGCAGGACGCCGCCGCCAGCCAACTGTCACTTCCACCGAGTCCACTCTGAATCTGAGAGGCTTCACAGCAGCAGGCACGCTGCCTCTGAACACACACTCACACTCACACACACACACACACACACACACACACACACACACACACACACACACACACACACACACACACACACCATCCAACCCCTGCGGCTCTGGTCCGATATTAAGAATCTGATAAAGCCGCTCTGTGTCTTCAAAGAGCTACCAGGAGATGTTTGTGGGAGAGATAAAAGTTGGCTGTTTTTATTGGGAGTGTGGACCACAGCTACAAAAACACCTTTATTGTTTGTACTGTTATTATTCTGTGTGTGGATCCTAAAGGAGATCAGAGATTGGGAGAACAGGGTCGTCTCTACAGACAACCAACCGCTGCAAGATCAATACAAAAACTGATTTTAAAGGCAATAAACCTTCAGCAACCTGTCAGCTCAACAGAAAACCTGGGAAATACATTATTATTCATTATTCTGCATTGTGCCTCAAAGCTTCTGCTCATTTAATCTCAATTTCTAATCCTAAAAACTCTACTAAAGGCACAGTCTTACACACTGTTTGTGTTGATTGTGCAACTACTGGACCATAAATGTCATCCAGTGAGTACTCTTACACACACAGCTGCTAAAAATGAGGAGTGACCTCGTTCTGTGCCAACAGATCTTTTATATCCCGGTTTCAGAACCCTGTGTAAGCTAGCGTTGGGATCTGTATCACGGTATGTTTAAAGAGTCTGCCGGTTTCACAGCACGACTCGACTTAAAGAGTTTATAGTGACTTATTCTACCGCCAGGAGCACGTAAGATATTCAAATAATTTCAGGGTTCCCACTCTGTTTTGGAGAAATCATTTTTCTGGAGCTTTTCTTGACAACAGTAACGCTGGTCAGCGGTAGATGGCTGTTCCTCCGACCGTCACTTTAATTTAACAGGTCAAATAAAGTGGAATATTATTATTTCACCTTTTAGCCTGTTAAATGAAGAAGTGGAAAGTATGTGTATGTATTTATCATCCACAACAAAACAGCATTTCCAAAACAGACTTGAATCCTACCAACATCTATTTCCAGGTGTTTCCATGACTAACAATATGAAAAGTATTTCAGTATTCAAATAGATGTTTCACAAATGTTCTATTGCACAAGTAAGAAACAAATGTACAACCCCTAACCGGTGTACCGGGTCATCAGGTTTATCATCGAGCTCTAATTTAACCCCTGAAGCACTGGAGGAATCACAGATGATCAGAACCCGAGATAACTCTCCACTCAGCCTGCAGATTTCTAAGGTTTAAGTGCATTCAGAGTAAAAACCCTGTGTTGTTTTTATTAAGTTGTGCCACCGACTGCAAGTCACGTTTCCCATCAGGGAGAATAAAGATTGAACATAGAGAGAGAGATAGACATCCAGGTTCTCTGTATTCAGTGTGAGAAACACATCCTGAATATGAGTCACTGAATGTGTGTATACCAACAGTAACACAGCTGCTGTGTGCGGCCTGAATCTCCACTGCAGTGAACTGACCTGAGCCCCGTCTGACCCTGCTGCTGTTGCTGTTGTTGTTGTTGTTGTTGTTGTTGTGTTTAAGGCAGCTCAGAGAAACAGGGAAACTCTCTGATCGGTTAGAATAGCGACACATTAATGATGACTCACTGAATGTCGGACTTTTGTTTCCAAACATTTTCCGAGCCGGAAGATAAATCAGCTGCAGACAAACACACACACACACACACACACACACACACACACACACACACACACACACACACACACACACAGGTATAAATAGGTCTGCATCTATCCACATTGAGATGCTCAGCTGTTCTGGTGCCACACACACACACACACACACACACACACACACACACACACACACACACACGGACTCAGTGGCTTTTCAACTTTGTCCTTTAACCCTTTACTGGAAGCTCTCTCTGTATAACTCAATGAGGATTAACAGCTGAGACAAAGCAAACACATCCAGTACAAACGCCATATTTAAAGGACCAGAAAAAACACACACACACACACACACACACACACACACACACACACACACACACACAGTATAGTGTAACTCAAAGTCTCCACTGTAAAAGATGTTTTAAGCTGGAAACAATCTGTGTATGGTTCATTGCACTGCACCATTGAAGCTTTACAAACTTTTCCAGATGACACACACACACAAAGGCAGAACTCTGATTGGACAGCAGGCAGAGAGGATGATGGGTACTTACAAACTGCCTCTTCTGGGAAGACTCAGCTCCTT